ACCAAATGTTGGGCATCTTGGTCAAAGGAAATTGCGGTGATATCTGCTCCAAGTCCAGCATATTCGTTTAATGGGCTTTGTGCGTATCTTGCCAAACCGATACAATAACGGCTTGTGAGAGACAAGGTCCCAAATTCCTCTGCAGCCCGTTTACTATGTTGAAAGATACGGGCGACAGCATCTTGTACAAATTTGACATGCAGAGGGTTCTTTGAGTCTCGATTATCAAACCCAACTGATTCAGAAGGAGGGTGTCCTTTCTCCGTCTGGGCTTTCACCCAGTCGGGATCATATACCAACGGTCTGATGATCTCGACAAGGCGATGGGTGGCAGGACTGAACCCACCAATGACAAGAACACTAGGATTGCGTTGCTTGATTAGGCCCAAAAACTCATTTTCTAGGTCCTTGTCCTTCAGGTTGTCGAATTTGGCATGATCTCGTAATCGGCCATCTTTTTCCAGAAAGACCACCGAGATAGGGTCCTTTCTGGGGTCTCCATCGCCCCATGATATAGCCATAACACTAGGATAATCCATGATAAAGTTGGGTTGGTCGTAAAATAGAGGCCTGACGTTGATACGCTGTGGATTGTTAGTAATTTTGATCTTATACCCGTCACGAACTTCTTACTTGCTCTAGCTCGTCTCCACATTTACGCGCCACCCAATCCTCAACTTCCTCTCGCAGCCATTCGCGTATCCATTTAGCACCATACGGTATGAAATGCTTGTCTACCGCTTCAGTAACTGCTTGGGCTCGAACTTCGTTCCAAAGCCTCGAGGCGTCACTATATCCATCAGATGAAACAGCTTGTCTCAGGTCGTCAACAAATTGTCTCCGTGTTTCTTCTGGGATTCCTACTTGTACAGTGACGAGATGTTCCGCCTCAGCTGACATGATATGTAGGAATTGACTGCTCTTTGTCATCAATCGTAGAGGCTTTTTGGAAAGGTATTTGAATGCCTACGACAAAGTTAATAAGCGTCTTGCTAAAAGTGGTCTCTACAAAGACTCACATAGTAAGGATGGGTTTCATCGACCTTGATCAGACCTTTGTCGGTAGGAGAGCAGGACATTTCCGCAGAATTGGTGAACATGGTGCGTACTACTTGACGAAGCAGAGGATCCTTTCCGAGTTCAGTAGCGATGAGCAGGCGAGCCCGCTCTAGCATTGTTTCGGAAGTCACTTCTCTGACAAGACTGGATTCGTTCTGAGCCATTGGGTTCGTAGCCCATCTTTTGCGTTCAATTTCCATCAAGCGTTGTTTCTCTGCGTCCACATACGGTATGACATGTTCTAACGGCGGCAAAACCGGATCATCCAAAAAGCGGTGCACTGCACTTCCCCTAGATTGCATTACTTCGCGCACTTTGCGCGATATTTCACGTGCAGGAGGGCAGAAATCCTATCAATAGTTAGAACCTTGGCATCTGTATGCAGAAATTCACTTACTTTTACGAGGTGATCTATAGGGGATTTTTTGAGCATCTCGTAGGTTGAAACGCGTGTTGGCCGCTTTGTCTTGCCATCTTCCTCGATCATAGAAGCATCTTGAAGCTCTAGACGATGTTGCATTGACAACCACTCCGTAGCATCCGTGATTGCCTCCATCGAGTCAAGCTTTGGTTGGATGTCACTTTTATAATAATCATCCGGCGCGCTGAGTTTGGAATGCATCCCTTCAAGTGCCTTTTTTCGTTCCTGGAACGCCCGGAATTTCTGACCGAGACTATAAACCCTCCATAGTTCTGCTACGCTGAGAAGCTCGATATGGTTTGCACCGTCGATATGCCAGATGTAGTCTTTTTTATGAGCTGCTATATATGGTACCTCCAAGTTCTGAATAAAGAGGTGGTCCAAGGTGACTTGAACGGCAGTGATAAGCATCGGCAAGTAGCGCCGGAATTGACCATCTTCCTTGAAAAAATCCCTCTCGATGCGCTGACCTAGTCGTAAGGATACCCAGTAAGCTGCGTCGTTCAAATCTTGTGGTTGTAACGGAGGCTCGAGGGAAAGAGTTGCGTCCGTAGTCAAAGAGCTGGTGACGAGTTGCATTCGTTCAGGAATATCCTGTACTCGAACAAGATCATCGTCCTCAGTGAGCATCCTGGAGCGTATTTCTGAGGGTTCGAAAACCTAGAAAAAGATGAGAATAGGGTGATACCACTTGTGAAAGACTAACGTCAGTGTATTTGGTATCCTTTTTAACTTCTCCCACTTCATCTGTTTCGTCTCCTAGAGCCCAATCATAATCATGTCCATCACCGAAGACTTCAAGGAGCATATCAATGGCACTAAGAAAACGTAAAAATTCCTTCTCTGGCTCATATATTCGATCGCTTACTTTTTATCGAGTCCTGCCAGCTCGGAAATGCCACCAGCAGTCCTTCGCCTCTCTTTTTCTGCGCGCCTCCTTTCCAAGCGTTCTTGACGCTCAGCTTCACCCATTTCGTTCTCTTCTTCATCTTCATCGGCCTCAATAAAGCCTCGCATATCATCTTCAAACATCCCGTCATCTTCGTCCAGTTCTTCATTTCGCCGTTGCACTCGTAAGGTACTATCATCGTCCCAGAGGTCATGTAGTCGAGTCTGATCACCTGTAGCCTTTCGATAATCGCCCGTGACATCTTGTAGGTCTGCTAGCTCCTCATCAAGCTCTGTGTCATCTCTGGCTCTTCGAAGGCGTTTTAGACGAGACTTTGAAGCGCGCTCAGGACGGTGCCCTGTAGCTTCTTCTACAAGCTCCAAATCATCTTCATCTAGCTCTCCGCCCATATCTTCATCTTCATCCTCCTCAAGATCTTTATCTGCATATGTGCGTTTGTTTAGCGCTGACTAAACTGAAGGTTTTAAACTCACCTCGTTTTCGGTGACGCTTGCGTCTCTTACGACGTTCTTCTCGAGAGCGTTTTTCTTCGTCATTTTCTTCCTCCTCTTCCTCCTCTTCTTCATCTTCATCTACAATGAATCCCTCTTGAATTTTGCGTGCCTCCTCGGGATCGTCCTCTTCCTCCTCGGAGGAGTCAGTTGACATATCATTTCCTTCCTCTTCGTCAGAACCTTGTTCTTCATTATTTCTGGTCCCATCTAGGTCCATGCGGTCATCCTTTGACCATGGTGCAACTGATTGCTCCATGTAGCGTTCTGGTCAAATTATCTGTTGCTTTGTTCCTGACCTCGCCACCGACCTTTTGGTAAACAGCGTGTTAAACGATCTACGAAGCCATATAATTTGAAGAAAGTCAACCAACTGTGTTTAGAGTGTCTAAATATTGCCTTTCCAAGTGGTAAGATACTCAGCTATCGCCAGCGTGTTGGATTCGAGCTCAGCGCACTGTGTACACTAGGCTATCATGGACACGTATGAAATGGACGACCTTCAAGAACGCCGAAAATTTAACTCAGACCAAGATACTCAGGCTGGAAAACCGACCTCTAACAACGGGACCTACTCCGCAGTGCAAGTGTGGGCGTTGGCAGTGGCGTCATTGTGAGCAACTTGCCAATACTCTTGTGCTAATTCATACTTATATCATACAGGACATTGTTGATTACAGTACCACTGCTCTTCTTTCCTCGTTTCTTGGTCTTTCTTGTGGGTGCACAAGGTACCCTCACACCGCTCGAACAATTCCTTTCCTATCAGTTGGGCGTATTACTTTTGGCAGTCGCTGCTGGATCCATCATGGCGGTTTGTTCTTCAGTCATGCTATATCGATACAAACCTTACACGAGCCTACAGACACCGGAGGATTCTTCTGGTACCAATACACCTGCAAATCATCCTCTCATGACACCTGTGACAATTTGTGCTGCGCTGAGTTCTCTCATTGCCTGGAACTCAAAGGATATTGGCTCCTTAGGGGTGTTCGTTTGCGTGGGTACTGGTATAATTGGTGCTTGGGGTTTTTGGACGGTAAGTACCCATATTTAGCAAAAATCATGAAGATTGACACAGAATAGATGTTGTTCGCTGGATCTTCATACTATTCTCGCAAAACGGGAGCGGATAAACGCACATCCGCTTACTTGTTTGGCAATAAAAAGGCAGCAAGTGTTCAAAAGAAAGAATGGAAAGAACGCCAGAAAAATCGTTAAATATACAACCGCGAGTCGTGGTTGACAGTGTCTCCCTGTAACTCGGTATTCTATGACGAGTCTTTGAGACCCCGTTACATCCAGAGGAGAGGCTAGCTATTATTGATTATGTTACGATATTCCTCTTTAATAGCCCACCGTTTTTCGCCTTTCAGTTTCTCGAAAACCTGTTTCAAAGTTGCCTCAACAGCGTTCTTCTTCGCCCCTTCGCCCTTCAAGACTTGATGGACTTTATCGATTAGAAGTACTTGTGTCGTACCACTCGGTGCTTCCAGCACCATTCCAGCCATTTTAGCAACAAGGTGGTCTGGTAATATAGGCTTTCCCGAAGTCCCACTAGCCGATTGGCCGCTTGTGCTCCCCTTTTTGACTCCAGAAGTGGACGAAGGCGCCTCATGACTTGGTTGTAAGAGTCGATCCGGGATTGCCGAAGCTGAAGCTCCTTCTGGGCCCTTAGTGGCACTCATGATGGGAACATCTCCATATGGTACAGATGGATCGATGTAGAGTGGTGTGTCTAGATCCAATCAATAAATTTCATCTTCAACAAAAGTAAAAGAGATTACCATTTAGGACTCTGACGCAGAATCGTGACCATGAAGCGACATGAGGATATCCAAGAGTTGTTTCCCAGAATGGACCTTTACAGTCCGGTTTCAAGGGAACAAGCTTTCTCCTCTTACC